AAAAAAAGGAAAAAAGGAAAGCATGTAATCACGGTTCATAAAATTCATTTAAACATTTAAACGTCAAAAGGTAAAATATATAATAAAAAAAAAATCGTCAAATTTTCCTGTTTCCTTTGATTTCCTTTGAAAAAAAAATTGATTCTTATACTTTATTGAATTTTTTTTTTAACGTAAAGAAAAAAAAAAAAAAATTTTTTAAATATTCGAAAAATTTTCAGATGATGATGACGAAAATGAGAGAAAAAGAAAAAAAATAAAAAAGACTTGATCCGGTTTCGGTAGATTAGATTCATAGAAGAAAATATGAGTTATTGAATAGAAAAATCTCCAGAAGAAAAAGAAAAAGGAAAAGGAAAGGAAAGGAAAGGAAAAAAAAAAGGAAATCTAAAAAGCAATCTCGGATTCTTTCACCTTTGAAATCCTTTTTTCTGGTAGAACGATTTCAAAATGAAGTTCCAAGAGTCGTATGGGCAAAACCTTCTGGTCATAATTCTTGTCACACTTTTTCAAACTGGATTTTCTTCTATTTTTTTTTTTTTTTTTTACACGCACAAAAAAGAAAAGGTTAACCGAAACTTTGTGGACAAAAGTTAAATAAGTTTTATATACCGGGAAAATTTGTTTTGAGTTTAAATTATTTCCGGTTTTTTTTCTTTTTCCAGATATTTCCAAACGCTCTGCAAAAAAAAAAAAAAATAAACATCGTAAAGATTTTTAGAAGTTTTCGTGTTTTCTATTCGATAAATTTTATTTTAATACGTAGAATTCACGAAAATTTTTTCAAATCTATCACGATAAATAAATTCGGTGGAAAACAACGGAAATAAAAATACCTGGAAATAAAAATTTTCTTCTCCTGGAGAAAAAATAATTCGCATAAGGTAATCCAAATCATTAAAGTTAAATTTTTTTTTTTTTGTTTAAATGGATTCCAGGATTCCGTTCCAAAAAAAAAATCATAAATAATCAAACCTGGAATACAAACCTAAAAAAAAAAAAAAAATTTTATTATTATTATTATGTCGGACGTAAAAAAAAAAAAAAACCTCACATTGAAACATTTTTATTTCCGGTTTCTTTTTTAAACCTTTACGCGATCAATCTTTTCCTTTTTACTTCTTCTGACGTAAGGCAGCGGCCATATTTCTAATTTTCCCGTGAAAAATGTTTCAAAAACTTTAAAGGACATTATATAAATTTATCTCCCGTTTTTTTTTCCTTTCTTTCTTTCTTTTTAAATTTCGATTCGGAGCGCACTACCGCACCTCCCCCCCTGCACGCACCCACTCATTCATCGATTTCTAACGGATTTAATATATAAAAAAAAAAAAAATTTAATAAAATAATTCCATAAATACACGACGACGATGATATAAATAATAAATAAATTCTTGTCATATTATTGTATCGGTACGAGAGAATTCGTATTAAATTTTTTTTTTTTTTACTAAAATATTTGATGATGATGATAATAATAATAACAAAAATAAAGCCCTCGTTTTGAAAAAAAAAAAAAAAAAAATTTATAAACACCGCCATCATCATCATCATCATCATCGATATTAAAGCATTTACCTTCTAGAAATCGAGTAAAAATCAATCTGGAAAATTCTCCATAAACATCACCATATGCAAAAAGAATTCAAAATAATAATAATAATAATAATATTTCTTTTTTGGAACCCCTAAAAAAAAAAAGAAAAGAAAATTCTCCAGCAAATACAAATAAATAAAATTAAATATAAAAAAATTTTTATTTTTTTCCTAACCCGATAATAATAATAATATTTTTTTTTTGGAGATTAACCCTTTAAACGTAAACATTATTAATAGAACAAGTTGTTGATGATGATGATGATGATGATGCGCGTGTCCAGCATTTATTTGATACCAATTTAAAGGTCAATTGATTGTATATGTATTTAGATCACCTGTAATAAACTGGTCCAGTTGGGATTACACTCGGAAACTGGATCACTTTTTTTTTTTTTTTTTTTTTCCTCAAACATGTGTTGAGTGTAAATAATAATAATAATAATAATAATAATACCAACCCTCTGTAATTTTATTCCGAGGGAACGTTCGTACGTCACCTATAAGGAAAAAACATTTATTTATTTATTTATTAATGATTATTTTATTAATAACAAATTAATAATTTATAAAAAGAAATTTTTTTTTAGAAAATGGCACGTGTAAAATATATTCGAATATTATTATTATTTTGTAAATGAAATTCAAACCATACAAAATCCTCATTTTTATTTATTTATTTTTTTTAATAATAATAAAAAATCGGGGAGTGTGGGGGGCACCTGGCTTCCGTTTTGATTAAAAAAGGAAGTACTACGTGAATTTTCGGGATAAAAACCCAAATAAGTCGTTCCAGGAAAAGAGATTTTTTTTTCTAACATGTCAGACATTATACCCGCACGTACAGAAAAAAAAAAGAATAGGTTAAGGGTAAAATTTTATTTCACCCCTTCGAAACCAAAATTGTTGACTCTTTTAAATAAAAAAAAAAATTTTTTTTTAAACAATTTTCTAATCGTCCACTTCATCGTTTTTTTTTTAAATAAATAAATTTATCATTAAAATCTCGATTTGAATTTTTTATGGAACCGTAAAATTTCGCGCCAAAAGTCAAAAACTATTCGAGTGGTTTTTTTTTTTCATCATCATCATCATCAGATAAATATTTAAAGTGGGTTGGTTAGTAAGAAGAGGTATATACGACGATCGTGATTATTTATCATTCTTCGTAATAATAATAATAATAAATGTTTTTTTTTCTCCAGGAAATCATTAAAAAAAAAAAAATTCCAGTCGCAAAAAAAAAAAATTTTTTTTTGGAATTTGCAAAATGTCAGACGACACTATATAAGTTTACGAAATTTTAAATTTACCTTTTTCTTTTCCTTTTATATTTTCCTAAGCGAAAAATGAATTCCCAATTGTCTCATCACCTTGTTGGTAAGAAATGAAAACGAATAGGTTAGATTTTCAAATATCTTACCTACGACCACCCATTCCAAAATGCCGACGCCATTTTTATATATATAAAAAAACTATAATATATCGGAGTTTTCCTCTAACCAGAGAGAGAGAGAGAGAGAGAAAACTTTCGGTGAAAACAAAAAAAAAAAAAGTCACGTTGGGAAAATTTTTTTTTTTTCCTTTTTCCTTTTTCTTCCTTATTTTTCTCTTCTTCTGTTGGGTTCCAAAAACGGTGGTGGTGGCGGAAGCGGCGGCGGCAGCGGCATTGCTGCTGCTGCTTGGCCTGACGTTTTTTTTTTTTTTTCCGAAGAAAGCAAACGACTCCTTTGAGATTTGAATGGTCGGACGAACGTACGAACGACTTTAAACTTGGTTGCATTATACAACTAAGACAGAGGAGGACCTTCGGGAATATATAATCCAATATGGTGTGTCTGTGTGAAAAAATAAAAAAAATTATTATTTTTCTTTCCTTTTTTTTTTCAAACCATTTTCACTCTCACTCTCTCTCTCTCTCTGTTTCGCACCGAAAATTTTATTTATTTTAGAGAAAATCGATGGATTTCACCGGTATATATTTTTTTAAATGAAAACATTTTTAAATTAAAAAAAAATTTTATTTAAACAAACTAACTTGATAGAAGTAAACCAATGGTGGATGGGATGTGACAATACAAAAACTAAAAATTATGTAATTCAATATTCACGTGACTCAATATTCAGACGGGTCGCATTAGTTACAATAAAAGTTACCCCCCTATTTACATCCGAGTACCTTTCCCTTATTGTCTGCCACGTTAAAAAAGGGTTGTATATTTTACATAATTGTATTTGCATACGTCCCAAATTCGAATGTTCCAACCAGGTGTGTGTCGTGTGAGGACTCCTCTTAATGGGTCAAAGTAACCCCTTTTTTTTATTTCTTTTTATTATAAAGATTTAAAAAAAAAAAAAAAAAAAAAAAAAACGGTTCTGCTTAAATAAATTTCACGACGATTCCGTCCATTGTATTTAAATGTCTGAAAAAAAAAATTAAAAAAATTAAACATTTAATTTTACGTTTAAAAACTTTTGTTAAGTTTTCTATTTACTCCAAAAGCTTCTTCTTTTCACTCAAACTTGGTCACCCTTATAAGCTGGTTATCTGAGAAAGTTAAAAGCTAACAAAACTTTACTTTTATCCTTCCTTCATGTACCACCGCCACCGCCACCTCCACTTTTACCATTTCTTATTATTAATTATGTGTGTGGGTGTGTGTGTGCGTGCGTGTGTGCGAATGTATTCCAACCTCTTTTTCTTACACGGAGGCAAAGGATTATCTTCTATTTTATATTTTTATCCCACGTCAAACACTTGAGCAGCCTTTTGATTAATGATAATTAATATTATTATTATTACTTAACAGGTAAAAAACAAAATTTAAAATTAAATAAATATATAATGATATAAATAATGTATATATATTGAAAAGTTTCTTTTTCCTTTTTTTTATTTTTTTTTATTTTTCTTCTTTTTTCTTTTTTTTTTTTTTTTATAAACAACAATAATGAAGTTTGAAAAATATTTTTTTCTGTCTTTCTTTTTTTTTTGTATACATATATGTTGTATCTCACTCTTTGAAAAAATGTTCAGACGATTGTTCGGGCATTTAATTTAATTTTTTTTTTTTTTTTTTTTTTTATTGAACTGTAGTAAATCCCCGATGAAAAATCGATCCATGAACTCAATTTTTCCGTCTTTTACGTGAAAAGAAATTAATGCTTCCTTTGTTCTTCCTTTTATTCCTTTTTTTTTTTTTTCCTTTCAATAATCCACCAAATTTCTAAAAAAAAAAATAAATAAATAAAATAATTTTTCTCATCGAAGATTGGTTAAGATTAATTTTACGCTTAATTAACAAAACCGCGGTAAACGGCGAAAGGAAAAAATGAGAGAAAAAAGGCTCTCCGGGAAAAAAAGAGAGAGAGAGAGAGAAAAAAAGAAAAGGATTGTGCCGCCTTTACCTTTTCCCCAGTCTCGGTTTCGGACTCGATGATCTCGATCGTCTTCCGCTTCTTCTCGGACTCCTGCTTCTCCTGCTTTTCACAATTTCCGGGCTACTACTTCGACTTCTCCTGCTTCCCGACGATTCCGATCTACTTCCGAATTCTCTTTTCCCGTGTTTATCGTCATCGTCTCCCAACCTTCTCAGGTACCTTTCACGCCTTTTCATAGCCTCTTTCTCTCCGTCGTTTTCCTCGTCTTCTCCCCTGTGTCTCAAATACCTTTCTCTTCGTCGGATTTTAATAGCAATGTCTCTCAATTCCGCTTCCCTATCTTGCCGCTCTTGTTCGGCTTTTTCAAGTCTTTCCTTTTCTGCTTTCTTGTCGGCTTTAACTTCAATTTAAAAAAAAAAAATCAAATTATTCAAAAGTCGCAACTAAAATCCCAATTCGTGACTCTTGAATTTTGACTCACATTGTTTCAATAATAACGCTTGCATTTTCTTTTTAAGCTTTTCCTGCGGCTTCTCTTTGGTAGAAGACTAAAATTAGGATGGAAAACATATCAAAAAGCGAATTATTTAAAAAAAATCCACAAATAATGATAATATTATAATTACAAAATGCAATTATTATTCAAATATCTAATCTGCAATTTATTTCTCAAAAAAAATTATGCAATAAGACTAATAAAAAATAATAATAATAATAAGTTTTAATAGTGCCCCGCTTTAGGTTCATTTAAAAAAAAAAAAAAAAAAAAGTGAGAGTGAGAGAGAGAGAGAGAGAGAGAGAGAGAAGGCAACTTTTAAGATGCGATGATTTTTTTTTATTTATAAAAAATTTTTAACACCCCTTCACTTTTTTCCCACCCCCCTCCTTTTTCGTTTATAAACGTTACTCAATAAATAATAATAATAGTAAAAGTTATCATGCTAGGGTTGGTCGAGAGAAAAAGAAAAAATAAAGAAGAAGAAGAAGAAGAAGAAACTTTTCGATTTCAATTGAAAAATTAACAAAACGATTTGCAGATTCAAAAAAAAAAAGTGAGAGAGAGAGAAAGAGAGAGAGAGAGTGAGAGAGAAAAAAAGAAAGAAAAAAAAAATAGAGAAAAATAAATGTATGGTTCTTACTGACTTTGGACGTCGGTCTGGCATTACCCGCACTTCGGCTACATGAATGATAATCATTTACGTTTATTTTCCTGAAATTCACACAAAAAAAAAAAAAAAAAAAACAAAAAAAAATTAAAAATGAAAAATCACGTGACTTTTTTTTTTTTTTAATACAAATGTTTGACAACTAACTTGTTAGCACTGCGACTGGAATTTGAACAAGAAGGTTGTCCCGTATTGGTTTTCGACTCGGAATCGCTGGAATCGAGACTCAATGACGAAGAAGAATCTTTTCTGTTGCGACCGTAATAACTGGAAAAATATAATTGAAAAAATTTACAAAACGGTCGTTACTTTTTTTTTCGTTTGTCTTCTGACACGTCAACGCAACAAGAGACAAACAAACCCACCGAGGAATCACAACTTTCGGCGGACTTTCTTTCTTCTTGGGTGATTTCGACGAGCTCAAAGACCTCGATTTTGATTTTTTATTATTTTTTGATTTATCCCTGGAATTACTTCTCGATCTGTGAATGAAAAATAAATGAAAAAACGTTTATTTTTTTATTAATAATAATTTAGATAAAATCGCTGCAACGTTTATAAAACATTTTTTGTACCTGGAATGTGATTTGCTACTATTACTTCTAGAACTTGATCTTCTCTTGCTCGATGCACACGACCGACTTGATTTCGATCTACCTCTTCGTGATCTGCTGGAACCGGATCTTGATCGAGAAGACCAACTTCTACGTCGAGATCTACAAAAAATAATTCGTTAACTTTTGCGACAATCAAAAAATAAAAACGCCATCGAACAATACAAAAACCTTTTTATAATTCAACAACAAAAAATAAAATTATTATTATTATTATTATTATTAATTTAGTTAGGATATTAATCATAATATTATTAATAAAATAAAAAAATAAACTTCTCAAGTTGTTTGAATGATTATTATAATCATCATTATCATTATTTTTTTTTATTTTTTTTTTTTACAAAATAATTGAGAATAACAACATGAGTAAAAATGATAAAAGAGTTCCTCCTGTAAATATCACCCTAAGAGCTTTCATCCAAGGAGGATATTGAGTTAGAAGTACGTCATGAATCACTGATAATGTAAATCCAAGAGATGTCAAAAACATTCCCAATGGCAATGGTAGTATTAAAGACGTCCAACCAATTATCGGCGGACCCACGCACCAACACAGTTTTTCATATGATATATCTTTCTTTGTAATTGCTTCCATCCAATTGCATCCACCTTGAAAGGATAGTATGCAAGCTCCGTAGGCTAAATGTGCGAATACACAACAGTAATAAGCATGTCCTGTTAATAGGGTAAGTAATGGAATTCCAAGCATCGGACCGAGTCCGGCAAAGGTAACCGTTTGAACCGTCGATGGAGCATTTTTATATTCGTTTATTTGTCCTTCCGCTATAACTTTATTCGCTAATCCGGTTATTTCTTCAATGGGTAATTTTCCTTTTTTAACACTTTCAATTAAATTGAGTACAAATGATTTGGGATTAAATGGACCGTGTTGTGGAACTTGTGAAGAACTGCGTACCGAACCTTTTCCTTCTTGCGATTTACTTTCGTCACAGGTATAAAATTTAAACGTGAACGTCGATAGAGGTACAGGTAATTTTCTAGGTAATAATATTCCACTACTGCTACTAAGTATTTTAGGTGACGATTTTATATTTCTTCGAGCCGCCAAACAAAGTAAAGCAGATATCATTTTCTAAATTAAAATTAAAAAATTATAAAATGACCCTAGGTGTGACTAACAATAACAACAACAACAAAATCTTTTTAAAACTCAAATAAAATAATTTCATCATCAACATTACCCGATAATTTAATTAATTCCGTTTCTTTTCTCAGAATAATAATAATCAAAAAAATAATAATTATTTAAAATTTACAAAAGGAACAAAAAAATTAATAAAAAAAAAAAGTGGGAAAAAAAAACAAAAACAAAAAGAAAATCTTAAAATAAAATATTTGAGGTTAAGATGTCGAAATCCTTTGGAAATCAAATAACATGGAGGAAGGAACTGTCAAACGGTCTGCTTTTCATCGCGAATAAATCATTTTTCACAACAAATGAACTACCAACATTTTTGACGTGGTTAAAAACTTATTTTAACCGATTATTCTATGATTTTCCAAAAAAAAAAAAAAAAAAAAAAAAAAAAAAAAATTTTAAATAATAAATTAATTATACATTTCTCCAGCAATTAGTCTAATTACTTTTTTTTTTTTTTTACCGTAATAAAATAAAATAAAAAATTTCATTAAGAGAAAATTTTAAATTTTTCGGCTAATGGCCGGCGAAGAATGAATAAAAATTCTTAACGGAAAATTTTGGTGACAACATTATTTTAACCTAATCAAATAATTTTTATATCGACATATTTACTTGGGTTTTCGAAATTAATTAAAAAAAAAAATTAATTTAACCGTGACATTTTTTTTATATTAATATCAAAGAAAAAAATGTAAACTTTTTTTTTTTTTTTTTTTTAAATTGTTCTTGATAAAAATAATTTCAAGTTTTACTCGTTATTTTTTTCGTATAAAATTAATTTAAAAAAAAAAAAAAAAAAAATTAAATAAACTTATTCCATTACTTGGTTTTTTTTTTTTTTTTTTTTTTTGGTTTTTGTTTGTTTCGTTTGGTAAAATTTAAAACTTAACTACGGTTATAAAAAAAGTTGGAAGGAGAGATATCAATGCGACAACCGTTAAAATGTAACGAGTTGATTTAAACCATTGCGGATAATTTGTTAGTAAAATATCGTGAATCATGGACGTCGTTAATCCGGCTGCTGCGAAAAGGAAACCGATCGGAAGGGGTAGCAAAACGGCCGACCAAGCCAATACCGGAGATGCTACGGCCCAACCGAGTTTATCCATCGTCACATTTTTCTGATTAATCAAATTACCCCAATTGACTCCTCCCAAAAATGATAGTAAACTCGCGCTGTAAGTGAGTTGAGCATAAGCGAGCCATGGAAAAACGCCGCCCGTTATAAAACTAAACAATCCTATTGAACACAGGGGTACCATTCCGCAACAGCTCAACGTGTAGTAAGCACTGGGAGCTTCTTTATATTTGGCATATTGAGCTTCCGCGTAAACTCCTTTGAATAATGTAACGACGTCGTTTGCGTTAACGTTTCCATTTTTGTATTTTTTATAAAAATTTTTCCAATATTCTTCTCCCGTGTTCATCATCGATGACATTTTAACATTGGCTGTTGTTTCTCCCGGCATTCGACGGAGAGAAGAATCATCGTATTTTATATTTTGATTATACATTGAATTAGCAGCGTTTTGGGCATTAAATGTTGGGCCACTGCTGCTAACCACATCTTCCTTCACTTCTTTACTAACTCTTTGTACTAAATCATCGGACGCCCGAACAGTTTCGTGTTGGCATCGGTAAAATAAATTTTTCTGTATGAATATCCGCCGTATAGAACCCGAGCACCGCAGCGGTAAAATTCTATACATTTTGATTTATTTATCCAAAATAATGAGTTTTTGTTTTAGTAATTATTATATCGAAATATCAAGTTTTTTTTTTTTTTATTTTGTAAATTATTATTCCAGATTCTCTATATATATATATAGGGTAACGCTCACATTTCGCGAAAAACAATTAATCTAATTTACTCGAGACCTATCTCAAAATTTTAAATTATATAAATATATATATATATATATTTATATACACTATTATATCTATATATGCTTATATAAAATTCAAAAAAATGTTTAATCAAATGATGCAATCAATCACCAAAAGAAAAAAATAAAAGAAAAGAAAAGAAGAAAAAAAAAAAAATTTTTTTCCCAATTTTTTTTTCCACTAAAATAAATTTTGTTTAAAAAGTTAAAATACTAAAAATTTCAACGACGATAAATGTAAACAAAAAAAAAAAAAAAAAAAAAGAAAAAAAAACTTTTTTTTTTAAAAAACTATCACGCCGAAATAAAATAAAATAAAAAAAAAAGAAAACAAAAAACGGTTAAGAGAACGAATCGAGACAAAGGAAAAAAAAAAAAAAAAAAAAAAAAAAATTAAATTAATTTGTTAGATCATTAAAAAGAATACGACGACAAGTAATCAAAAGTGTAAAGTATTCGATTCGAAAAAAAAAAATTTTTTTATTTTTTTTTACCTTGATCTACTCCTGGATCTTCTCTTTGAATAACTTTTGAATCTATCACTTGATCCACTTCTCGATCTCCTTTCATTTTTTTTCGACATTAATTTTTTTAAATTAAAAGCCAATGATCTATTTTCAAGACTTCTCGATCGAGTGTATTTTCTCCTTCTTTTAGGTGATTTCGACCGGGATCTACTTCCTGCAGATTTTGATCGACGATTCCTATGTGAGGATTTGACGCACCTATCATCCCGCTCTCTTGAACTTGGTTTGAAAATTTTCTTCCTTTAATCGTTTTCTTTCAATTTTTTTAAAAAAAAATAAATAAAATTAACATATTTTAAATACCTCCGTTTCCTAGATTTTTTATTACTTTTACTATTAGACCTATCGTCATTTTTTTCTTCGTTTGAATCATCGTCTCCAAAGCTAGTAATGTATGTAATTTGGCCAGTATTTTCCGGAGAAGCGGACCTTGATAATGATTTGTTGCTTCTACTGTACTTATCATAAGTAGGGGATTTTCTAGCAGCATAGCTGAAGAAAAAAATGATAGACTTTTTATTACCGATAAGAAAGTTTTAATTACAGGAATAAAAGTAATGATTACATACCTCGGGGGACTCATTATACGACCTATGAGCTTCTTTTCCCTAAAAGCTTGTCTTTCTCTCCTAGCTTTTCGACCCTGTATTTTCGAATAAAATAATAATCGAATAAAGTTTTAATAATAAAAAATATTACATATGTTACAAAAATTATGAAAAAACTCACAGAAAACATTGCTTTTTCTTCCTCTTGTTGTCTGGCAAGTCTCATAGCTTCTTGTTCTTCAACATCATTTGTAAGAAAACTAAAAAAATCATTTCCCGTTAGACCAAAGCGTTGTCCAACTGCATTCATTTCATGTGCACTAGGTGTATCAATTTGGCCAAGATCAAGGCAGAGATCTACAAAAAATTAAATGAAATTTTATTTATTTTTATGAAAAAAAAAAAAAAAAAAGGAGAGAATCAATTTGCATAAACTACAATTATTTATAATTTGAAGTTACTTACCAAAGTCTAAATCGCTATCATCACTATTGCTAGCATCATCCTCTTTTGGCTTTTTTTCTAATATGTTATAAAATGTAGCATCTGGAGTAGAATCTTCATATGTAAATCCGATAGCCGCTCCTTTTTTCCTTTTTTCTTTTTCTAATATTTCTGAAGACTGTTTTAAAGCTATTGGCCCAAACTGCTCTTCCAAATATATTTGATTTAAAAATTTTTCTTCATTCACTAAATTTTATAAATTGTGAACACATTCGAAAATTATTTATTTAACTTGCACGATTTAACAATAGTTAGTTAATAAAAAATTAATAATTTCATATTGTCATACCTCCGAGAAATTCATTTTGTACCAAAATCCTGTATCTTTCATAATTCATCATTCTTTCTTCATAACTCATAACTTCTTCATCATTTTTGGATGGTAAATTTTCAGTGATTATATCTAAATGAGCTCTCACATCAAAACGATCAATGAGAATGTCAGGGTGACCTTGCCAGGGCATCATAACCGAGGCGCTATCCCCAGCAACTGCTACAGCTGGATCTAAGTGAATTTTACAAGGTCGTCCATGTAGTTGTAGAAATTGAGTGGGATCAGCTTTCTAAAGTAATATTAACAACAGCAAGAACATAAAGCTATGAGAAACAACAAATTAATGTAAACTTTGTTTCATTATAAAAATTAACAATTGTTTTAAGTAAATACATCATTATTTCAATTCTAACAATTCGAATCGTTTATTCGATATGAAAATTGTGTTACAAAATTAAGAATTCCCACCGTTTAACACATGATAATATTTTACCAAAAACGTAATTATCATTAAAAATAAAATCTTTATGGAATTTCAATTAAACCGTTTTGAAAATAATTCATATCAAAATTATGAATTCACTTCGTAACAAGACATTACTAACTTACAAATTTTTCATAAAAATCTCTCCTTCTTTCCGCTCTTTTTCTATAATCAACCATCATTCCTCTAATTTTTTTCTCTTGTTTTCGAGCTTCGTGCCACATTTTGTAAGTCTTAATTTTCTTAGTACTCTAATAATTACACTATAAAAATAAAAGCTAATTTCACCTTTATTCTAAACCCATAATGGCATCCGCTTAACTGTTGCCAACTTAAAACTTTTGCGCGCAAAAAAAAATATTCATTTTAACGAAACGAAAACCTTAAATTAAATTAAATTTAAAGTTTTTTTTTCCAATTAAATTAAAAAAAGGAAAATAAAATCTACTTTTTTAAAATTATATAATAAATAAAAATTTTCATTCATTTTTATATTTCTTTTTCCGTTATTATATCCACACCCAAATGAAGATTTGGTAAAAACATTTTTTGTCAGTAACGTAATAAATATTTGACAAAATTTGATAGAAGTTGAATTAATAAAATTTTATTTAGTTTTAAAATTAATTATCTCAGAATAATTACACACAAAAATTTAAAAAAAAAATAGCAAAAAAAAAATATACACTTGATGCTTTCTTTATCTTAAAGTTAAAAATTTTGTACAGTCATGTTGGTAGTCATATCTATCAAAAGTATTTATTGAAAGGAAAGGAAACGAACGCATTCAACAAACAGCTGTTAAAAAGTCTGTAATGGGATTTTGTTTACTAATTTATGACATTTCACTTTTACATAGTTAATGTTTGTTTATTTATATAATAACAACAAACAATTTTTAAATTTAAATTTTTTTTTGTGAGTATTATTATCATGCAATTTAAATTACGTAGATACAATTTTCCTTTTTATGTCAATAAATAATAATAAAAAAAAAAAAGATATGAAAATGTAATTTGAAAATAAGTAACTTGGCATAATTTTTTTTTTTTTTTTTTATAATAAAATAACACTTAAAAAAAAAAAGTATTTATGTTACTTTCATTGTAATCATATTTTATTTTGAGGTTTTAATTTAATTTAATTTTTTTTTTTTTTTTTTACAGTTGATAAATGAATTTTATAAAATGGGTAGAATATTTTTAGACCATGTTGGTGGAACGAGATTGTTTTCATGTGCATCTTGTGACACAATTTTAACAAATCGTAGCGAACTCATTAGTACAAGATTTACTGGAGCTACTGGTAGAGCTTTTTTATTCAATAGAGTGGTCAATTTAAACTATAGGTAAAGTAATTTAAGTCAATATTTACATAAATTCATTTGTCTTTATTGAGAGATGATAAACAATTCTCGATTTTAATAAATTTAAAATTAAAATGAGTAAGTCTATGAATTTCCAAAAAAAAACAAATTTTTATAAATTATTTAATGAATGTTATTATGAAACACTTTAAAAATTTTTTTTTATATTTATTTAGTGATGTACAAGATAGAGTAATGTTAACAGGACGTCACATGGTAAGAGATGTAACGTGTAAAAATTGTGATGCCAAACTCGGGTGGATATATGAATTTGCGACGGAAGAAAATCAAAGGTATAAAGAAGGAAGAGTTATTTTAGAAAGAGCATTAGTGACAGAAACTGATGGTATAGAAGAACATATGGGAGATGATTAAAATAAAATAAAAAAACTGTAAATTAGTTATATTTTTTTGTACAAAATATTATAAAATAGCCTTCAGTGTTCAGTAAATACGAAAGAATCATTTTAATTATCAATTAAGGATATAAATCCGATTAATATATGTGTAAAAATTATATGTTTATGTACCTAAGTTCTAATTCTTTGAAAATATTTAGTTTTTTTTAAAATTACAATTAAAATTTATTTAAAATCTTGTCTGAGGTTTCTCAAAATTAAAGTCTTTATTGTGCTAAAAAAAAAAAAAAAACTTTCTGTCCATATATTAGAATTAATTAATTAAAATCGTAATGCCTAATTTTTGATATGATTCTTAAAACTGTAATTATATATATATATATATATATTTGATGTTTAATACTTTAAAAAATAATTAAAGTTTAAATTAAATTATAAATTATAATTAATTATGTTTGTTATTCTTTTACCTCATAGGTAAGCCATGTAAAAAATTTCTTTTTATTTTTATAAAATTTCTTAATGATATATGAAACTATTGTTTTTTGTTATAAAAACTTCATAATAAATTAATAATCGTCTGTTGGATTTTAATTTGATTTTGTATTCTTTTGCACTCTTAATAATAATAATAATAATTAATCAATCACATAAATAATTATTATTATTTCAAAGCTGTATATCACAACTAAATATACTACAAATTTTTAAGAAAATAGTCTCGATTAATAAAACAAATTTTAAGTAATTTAAATTAATTTTTGTATATTTTATTAAAAATTTTTACAATATGCAAAAAACGAGAACATTTTATTTTAAATAATAATAATAATAAATCAAAGTAAAAAAAAAAAATTAATTAAATACAATTTTATTACTTTATTGCCTTTACATGTTCCATCATGTAACCGTTTTCATCGACTCACTTCCTTTTTGTCGTTTTACCTTTTAATTCACAAAATCACTCATAGAATGCGCTGATCGTAAATATTTTTTTCCCGTCGATTGGATATAATGTATGTTTACATATCGAAAATTCTATTGCCACGACAATTTCCCACGTGAAAAAAGTTATTTTTTTTCCCTACCCGGTTTTGATTACTTAAACTTATAATAATAATGATTATGTTATGGAGAATAATGAGCGCGAAAAAAAATTTTTTTTGAATTTATTCATTGTTTTGTGCACAATGCATTTTTGTAATGCGATTCACTTAATGCAACGGATAAAAATATCCACAATAATAATTATTAAAACATATGGAGAAAAAAAAAAAAAAACTTTTCGTAGCCATTAATAATAATAATAATGATTACGTAATTTTAATAATTTTTTGAGGGAGTTTTTAAAACGCATAAGTTAAATACCTTGCTCGTGTGAATGTGTGAGTTTGTTTGTATTATTTTGAGCAACATCCTCTCTTATAATTATTAAAAAAAAAAAAGAATTTTTTACCTTTTCACATTTAATAATACGATATGATAATAATAATAATTAATACGATATTAATTTGATATAATCTTTTGATTTAAAAGACACACGTTAAAAAATAATCAGGTACTCGGATTATGATCAACCGTCGATAAATTTAAAAAAACGTCTGCTATTTAGGAAAAAATATTTTCGATTAAGGATTATAATATCAATAAATAAATAAATTTTTAATAATTTTTTATTATTTATTTAAGAAACAAAAAAAAAAAAAAAAGAAAAAGAAAGAAAATATTTGACGTTCATCTTTTATTGATGAACACGAAATTATGAAAGAAGAAATTATATTATATATTTACAAAAGAATCTAATCATTGGTGGGCAAGAAGAAAGCCTATTATTATTATTATTAATATTATTATTATTATTTTAGATTCTCAAGTATCTTTATTTTTTGTTTCTGTAAAAATTTTGTCCGAATTGTCCGTTGTATTCGTTTTGTTGGGGTTGAGAAGCGAGAAATTCAAGAGCTCTTTGAATTGCTGGTGGAATTGGTGGTGGGGTTGGCAAATGAGCACCTTGAGGTTGGAATCCTACACAAAAAGAAAATTTTTTTTTTAATATTCTTTCGTCTGTTTCCACGGCATTTTTGAATAAAAAAAAAAAATTTACCGTTTTCGTCTGCTACGTAGGTAAGACTGATTGGTACTCCGTCATCACCGGTGTATGAAAATCTACCTTGTGCAACTTGAGCTTCGGCTTCTGGATTTCCAGCATTTTTCAAATATCCTTGTTCTTCTCCCACGATACCGTTGGCGGTTTCGTATCTAAAATAATTAAATAAAATTCATTCGATTCGAACCTTTTTTTTATAACCTTCCTTTATATGTGTATACACTTACGCGTATTGGTAAGAACCATCTGGATTAACGACGGAATCGTGTCTTAAAATTGGAATCGGTGATGTGTATTGTTGGTATTGTCCTTGTGGGGCAGCGTGGGAAATGGCAACAGCCAAACACAAACAAAAGATCTACAGAAAAAAAAAAGAAAAACCCCGATAAACCTAATTTTACCAACAAATTTAAAAACTCGAATCATAGAATAAATAAAAAAAAATTACTCATCGTTCTATAACGTATAAAAAAAATTATTACTCTATGCTTTATTAAATAATAACAAAAAAAAATTACGTAATAAAATTATTTAACGACGATAATAATAATAATAATAATAATAATTTTTTATATTAAAATACAAAAAAAAAAAAACCGATTAATTTTTTAAACAAAAAAATTTTTGTTTTTTTTTCGGGGGGTTTTTTTTCTACAAAAAAAAAATGGCGCGAGTTTTTTCTTTTTCTACTACCACTTTACTACAACCACTGAATTATTACTACCCCCCCATAGGTATATGTATGTAGCATCACATTTTTTAACTTAAAAAAAAAAAAAATATCCTTTTTGGGAAAAAAAATTTATTAAAAAAAAAGCAAAAATCCAAAATGTCGGAAAATTCAAAAAAATTCACTTTCACATTAAAAAAAAAGAAAAATTTTTATTATAACTCACCGTCTGCAACATTTTTTTTTTTTTTTTTTTTTGAAAAAAATTTAACGAAATAAAAATAAGAGAAAAAAAAAAATTGCCAAGTCCGATAGGATGCAAACTAGTTTTGAATCTCGCTAAAAGTGAATCTGCCTTATATACCCAGTTTTATGTGGGGCATCGAATGTTGAGAATCGGGGATGGATGAGGAGTTGTTGTTGTTGTTGTATTACTACTCTCTACCTAACATTGCGGCACCCATTTACCATCACGTTTTTTTTCTTTTTTTTTATTCTTCTATCAAATCGTGCCCGTGACATCTTTTCAGGGCAGTAAAGGTTGAGGTTCGATAAACGTCTCGTTGGTGGTGGTGGTAGTGGTGGTGATGGTGTGGATTATTAAATTCGAACTCGTAACTCTTTAAATTTTCTTTATGATTCACAACAAGGCTTTTAATTTTTTTTTTTTTTTACATTCATCCCTCATCGAGATACCTTTATTAATATTTATTATCATCATCATCATCATCATTATTATTATTATTTTAATAAAATTATTCAATAAAAATTTTTTTTTTTTTTTACCTTATTTGAAAAATTTTTACGGTTTTTTTATTGTCTCGCACAAACGGTTTTTTTTACATTAAATTAAAAAATTATTATTATTATTATTACTATTATTATTATTATTTATCACATTTGATTATTGCAAGGTAATAATAATAATAATAATAATTAAATAAATAAAAAAAATTATTGATTAAACAATTAATAAAATGGATTATTGCACTCGTTTAATTTTTAATTAACGATTGTCCAGGTGATGGAATGATTTTGTCCAGTAAAAAAAAAGGGGGGCGGGGGGTTTGGAAAAACACCTGTCTATGTTTATATACAAAATCAGGTGCATTTTCCAATTTTTCCTTTTTTTTGTAAACGGAAAGAATGATGTGGGGTAAATGATTTTTGCAAATTTTTTGAAAAAAAAAAAATTGCTGCTGGAATTTATTTTATAAATTATTTAAATTTTTTTTCAGGGTGATATTTCTGTTCAGAAAAAAAAAATAGGAACAGGTATCACGATTCAAAAGGATAAATAATAATAATAATAATAATAATAATAATAATAATAATAATAATAATAATAATAATAATAAATTTACATCCGGATAGGTCGTGCCAATTTTTAAAATTAAATTTGGTCCTTGAATGAAAAACACTTGCCGGACAAAAAATTTTCCTTTAAATTTTTTTTTTTTTTTTTTACCTTTGAACTTATGTATTTGTAAAAAATTAAAAAAATTTTTTTTTTATGTAATTGAGTCATCCGGTTTGTCATGACGTCGGTTACCGCCCCCCCTTTTTTTTTCTTTTTTTCGCATTCGTTCTATTTATATATAAAAATAATTTCCAGGTATTTTGTTCCATTGAACTTAAGTCACGCATATTTATTTTTTTTTCCAATGTAAAAATTATCATTGTGTTAAAATCTTTCGAGGGGAAGGGAGGGGGAGGGGGGAAATCAATAACATGATTGCGTAACACCACCCGAAGAATATTATTATTTATTGTTCGGTGCAGGTGATTTTTGCCCTTCTCCAGTAATGGTAGTACCCCTTTTTAAAAAAAAAAATTTTTTTTAAATTTTTTTTTTCCCTCAAAATGAAAATTTTACATTATAAAACTCGAACGTTATATAAATGTTGTTCGATAAGGGAAAAACTAAAAGTCATACGCGCTTATGTTTAGCTTATGCCAAACGTGTGCCATTTAACGAATACGATTTTTAATAAAAATCAGGAATCCGGCTGGATAATTTTTCTGTTTTTTTTTTTTTTTTATTATTATTAATTCCAGAAAAGTTTTTTTTTTCACACGGTTACTTTTATTCGGGGGGAAGAGGAGGGGAGGGAGGGAGGGAGGGGAAAGGAAACGTACTTGCATACTCGCAGTAATTTTTTTTTAAAAATAAAAAATGAATTTATCACATTTGAAAAACGTCCAAAAAAAAATTTTCCAAGGTTTTTCTTTTTTTTTTTTCTCCAGCATGTGACTGAATTTATTTAACAAACGTATTTTTTCTTCTTCCACGTTAATCAAATTTAACCAAAAAAAATAATCACAATGGTACGATTTATCACGGGAATTTTTTCCCTGAGCAGCCATAAAAAAAAAGTTTTCGTAAATGACGTCATCGCAACATCACCGCCATATTTATTTTTTATAAAAACGTTAATTAAACGTTTAAATATCCCGATGTGATTAACTTACATTAAATAATCCTCGTCGAAAAGAAAGATTTATGTACATAATTTTTTTTATACATTTTATTACTCGATTTTTTTTTCGATTCTCGTCTACGTTAATCAATTGACATAATTTTTATTACGTAATACCTTAATAATAATAATAATAATAATAATAATAATAATAATAATAATAATAATAATAATAATAATAAATTCTAACTCTCTTTTCGTTCACATGAAATTTAGTCATTTTCATAACGGAAAAAGGTTTGCAATTGTTTAATATTTTTCCATTCAAATCTATTCGTTTGTTTGTTTGTTTGTTTAGTGTTTTGTGAACTTTTTAACATTTTTTTTTTAATTTTGTTATGTCACCTCACATATAATTTCATAAACAATTTTTTTCTCTCTCTATCTCTCTCTGCCACTTTTTTTCCTCTTTTTATTATTATGAGCCTTCAATAAAAAAAATTTTATTTTTCCGCGAATTAAGTCGTGCATTAACCCAAAGGGTAAATTAAACTTGATGACTTATCCAAAAAAAAAAAGAAGAAGAAGAGCAACAAGTTAAAGATCAGAGTGACAAAGTTAAATTTTAACACGTTCGAAAATGGCACCTAACGAATAATAATAATAAACTTCTTTTGTAAAATACGAAAATCTGGAAATTTCGTTTTTCTTTCCGAGTTCTTTCGTACGAAACGAACGAACAAACAAACAACAAAGTTGGTGATGACCATCGGGTCAAGGTACGTATACCTAATTTATATAAATTAAATTAAATTAACAAAAAAACCGGAAATACTCGGTCGAAAATAATAATAATTTTTTATACGTTATTACAAACCGATTGCGAATACACAATCTTTCTCTCTCTCTCTCTCTCTGTGCTGCATTTTAAAATAATAATAATAATAATTTGATATTTTTTTTACCTAATTATAATATTTATATATATGTATGTTATAATCCCTGAATATTATCGTGGATTATTATTATTATTATCATCCGTTTGAAAATTATACAGGAGGATTAGAATTCGATAAATAAAAACAAACATGAGAAAGGAAAAGGTTATCATTAAAAATATTTATAAGAAAAAAAAATAACAACAACAAACGACGATGACGACGACGACTACAAAATTACAAATAAAAAAAAATAAAAAATAAAAAATTGCGAAAGAAGAAGAAGAAGAAAAAGAAGATTCCAGATGATGTAAAGATCAAATGTAAAAAAAATTTAAAACGCTGAAAGCATTTGAAGAATACGTGAGAGAGGTTTTTTGCTTATTCATTGACAAAATAAATGCAATAACCAACAACCAACAACAACCAGCAACAACCGGAAAAAAAAAAGAATAAAAAAGTTTTTTTTTTTTTTTTTATACACTTTTAAAAATATTTCTTGCGCCATCTTGTTTAACCGCAAATAATTTTAATGATCCGCCATTTTTTTTCTCACCACCACGTGCGTTTGTTCGTTTGTTTGTTTGTTTCCTATTTATTAATTAAAATTAATTTATTTAAACGATTTCGAATTAATAGCAAATAAGAACTCGTCGTTGTAAATATTTAATTTCCTGAAAAAAAAAAAATATCATTAAAAAAAATTATTTCTTGAGTGGCATCATATCGTATGACCTTTCGGCCCTGACTCACACCTACCTGAAATGAATCAGTTTTTTATTATATACCTAATATTAATTTATTATTATTATTATTAATCGAATCCTGAATTACGATTCAGACGTCGAAACCCTACAACAATTTACGTTTGTACGAGTTTTTCTTTTAAAACTCCTGAAAGTTAAAAACCCGACGGTTAAAAATTAATTTTAATTGTTTTTTAACCGCTAATAAAAAACAAACAAACAAACAAACGAACAAACGGACGATCCATTTTTTAAACCGACCAAAGAATTATAAAAAAAAAAAATTTATTATTTTTTTTTGATGTGTTGCACTTGAAATTTAACGCGTTAATTTTATTACTCATTTTAAACGTTACGTAACTAATTAAAATTTTTTTTGTTGTTGTTGCGGTTGTGGTTGTTGTTGTTGTTGCACATCTCAAAACTCTATTAAGAGCAACGAAACAATTTTATTACGTATTACAGATGTAAAATCCTAATAAAACTAAATAAATAAATAAAATTTTTATTTTATTAAACTTATAATTAAACAATAAAAATAAATTTTTTGAAACGGTTAATTATTAAAAGACAACCGTCCACCCGACGCCGTTTGTTTTTTTTTTTTTTTCAACATTTAATTATTTAACAAAGGTCAAAAGTTCAAATTAAA